TAAATAAATAAATAAATAAATAAATAAATAAATAAATAAATAAATAAAATGATTGTGATCTTCATTTTAAACTTATTCTTTTTGAGTATAGTAGTTACAAATTATGAACAGTAATGGATTTCCTGGCTCTCTCTGGTTTCCATGTGGTAAAATGTTGTATTTCAGACTTCAACATATATTTTCAAGTTCTACTTAATAAGCTTAGACATAGTAATAAAAACCATAATAGAAAGAAGTAATAAGAAATATTCTGACGGGAAGTAAAGGCTACTTTCAGTTTTTATGCTAAGTTAAGCTAAGYTAATCTTAGCTTTAGCTTTCCTGAAAAGTTAGCTTAGCTTACCTCAGTTATAAGCCTGTCACCTCTAAATCTGTACATTAATTTTTACGAGTTAAAATAGTTAGCTTTAAGAGGTGAAAGTATTATTTTCATCGGCCATTTACCAAAACGCCGAAGCTGTAGCTGGTTGCTTGTCTTCATAGCTTTTAACATGACACAAAGCTAATTAGCACGCAGGCTAACACCGGAAGTATGCGTCAAAACTTCCGCATTATGACAAATAAGGTAAATAAATGCTAAATTAATTAATTTTTTTTACCTAAAACAACTATGATTTGAGCAAGAGTTAAAAGTTTGATCCAATGAACTAAAYATACCATACTATTTTAACCGCACAATTAGCAAAAATAATGAACTTAATTAAGTTATCACGGGAAATTTAGTTTAGTTTTGTCATTATTAAAGTAATTGCAGTCTTGMTCTTAAGATAGCACTGTTAGAATAGGCTAAATAACCAAAGCCATRGTTATTTTGGGGGAATTTGTCCATATTCCACATGGCAGCAATTATATTAAATCAAGGAAAACAATGTGAAAGAAATGATAAAAGCATKCAAATGCTAAAAAAATTGTAACTGTATCCCTAATTTGGTTTACAACATGTTGATTGAAATTTAATGTGACCTTCTCATACTATCTGGAAAGAAAAACAATACAAACTGCTGTTTCCCATTGTTGTCATGTGGTTAAGGAAAAAACAAGACAAAACAGGAATAGCAGTTGTGAAAGACAAAAAAAGAATTACATAACCAGAAAAATCCACAGTGAATGACGTATCAAGTCAAAAGTACAGAGGATTAGTCATTCTGTTGTGAACATTTGAGAAAATCAACAATTTCTAACATTTGTTTATAAATTGATTCATTTAGGTACAGACAACCATACAGCTGTCTCTCATGCGGGACACACAATCAACATCCCCAGCCCGCCACCCTCATCCAATCAGCGGGCAGGGATGCATTCCCCGCCTCCTCGGCGAGCCACCATCAGGGAATTTAGCGGAACCTACGAGAGCCTGCCAGCACGCTCTGTTCAGGTATGATGAGTTTTTTTTTTTCACCCAAAAATCTATTTAGCATTTCTGTCAAGAAACAGATGAATGGATTCAAGATGGCTGCCAATCAACCTTAGCCAACACAAAAATAGTGATAACTCATTCAGGTTAACAGATGTTGAGGTAATATTTGGTGTGGTAGTAGCTGGGAGCCATCCTAACACATAATGTAAGAACTAAAACATCACACAAGATTTTTATTTAACATTTTTGGCATGCAATGCAGCTGTCTGTAACATCCCTTGAAGGTAAATCTTTGTGTTTTTATTTAATAAAAACCAGCTTGACCTTAAATAAATTATGGAACCAGCCCAAGTTTGAGAGGGTAGATGCAGTTTTGTCTCTGCAGACCATCTGATTATAATCCTTTGCACAAAGAAAAAGCATATCGATAAAAATTCTTTTCACAGACAAACTTCTGGTTTTACCAATTTTCGTGCACAGTATGTTAGAGAATATTAGCTTATGTTGTTTTCGAAGCTTGAATGTAGAACTATGTGAAATGGGTATGACATGAATTTAAGGTATTCACCATTCTGGTAAGTTAAGAAGTTGGTTTTGTTCCACACCAGAGGGCTGGAAGATCCCACAAAGACCCAAGATCAAGGGGTCGCTTGTGGGGGTGGGGGTCGGGGGGTCGATTCTTCGAGTAGTAAAAGCTCAAAGAAGATCACATGATAACCCTTAAGGCGTAATGTCAAAGAGCAGCTATAGGAAAAAGCACTGAGCCATTTTAAATTCCATTTTCATGTGACACCTTGGAAGACGGTTTGTAAAGAGGGATTCAGAGAAGCAACGTGTGAACGTCGTCATCTGTGCTGTCAGAGCATTGGATGGAAAAATAAAAGTGTTTTTAGAATTTATTGATAACAGTATAAAAAACATATTGCCCGGACTTAAACTTTTATTTTTTATTATTTACGTTTTCAGCTGTTTGGTATGTTTGGATTGTTATTTGGTGAGTTTTACATTTATCTGGTCAGAAACATCCATCTTTTGTTTTCCTTTCAGGTTTCAGAGTCTTGTGTGGTCGAGTGCCCCAGCATCCAGATAACCACCATCTCACCTGAGGAGGACACGCCAACCATACCTGATTACTGGCACATGGGTGGCAGTGGCAGGTGGGACAAAGAGCGCCTCTACCTCCCCCTGCTGGACCCCTTCACTTATCGCGACAGATGCCCGGGGTCCCTCAGCCCAAGCCCTGCCTCCAGCCCCTCCTCCCGAGGCTGGCTTAGCCCCGCCTCCAGCTGCGACTCCCTGCTGGTGGAGGAGGAGGAGCTGAACGAGGCCACCGGCAATTTCGGACTCTCGCCGTCCTCGAGGCCGACCTCGCCCGGGGGCAAAAAACGACGAAACTCTCCCCTGGCCTCTCCCTGCACTTCGCGGAGAGGCAGTTATTCTGAGGAGCTGTACGCGTGTACGCTCGAGGGCGGAGACTCCGCCTCTCAGTCACAAGCTCCACCCAGCAGCTGTGACCTCAACATCCCGCAGAAAACCAGAAAGACGTCACTGGAACAGGTACAAACAGTCGTGRTGTCCCCAGAGTTTATTGCCCAAGAAGATGCAAAGTATTAAATCAAGACATTTTGTTTTTCAGCTGTCTCCGAGGGAAGCGGATCAGGAGCAGACGTCAGGTCACAGCTCACCGTGCCCGCTGCCAGACCCCCAGCAGACCAGGAGAGACCCCCCGCCGCTCAGCATGGACTACCTACCTGTGCCCCCAGCTCTAGCCTGGGGCAGAACGCGAGCCAGCGCCCACAGTCCTCTATTCAGGCAAGAAGGGTGCCATCTTTGCAACGACTAAATCCATTAATGCAAACTAAATCATGGCTTAATTTAAATATTTGAGCTTGTAGTTCAAATTAAATGATTTTTATATGATTTTCAGTTTGCTTTTTGATACTGACGAGAACTTTATTGAGCCAGAAAGTTTAGTTTCTGTTATAAAAAACAAGATTGGCCAAAGACACTAGGTGAACTATTATGTATTTATTTGACCAAATGTTTTATGCTCACTTAAAACACGAGAAAAACCTCAAATAATATTCTGATATTCTTCAAAACATCCCCAAATACTTGGAATTAGCGACTGAAACTATAAGTTTATAAGTAAAACTTTGCCTTTGGTCACAAATAAAATAAGTAAAAGTAATTTTCTCTGTTATCATTAATAAAATCAAACTTCTCTCTGAAATCATGAGTTTCCCCCTGCTGGCCATCAGACAGAATGCAGGATMAATTATTTGGATATTGGCTTCATTTTTCAGATCATGAGGTTTCTCCAGCTTTTATTTCCACTGTGTGCATGTTTAACTGAATTTTTAAGACTCAGATAAGTCCAAATAGATTTGACTTGTACCAGAACAATAAATATTGTTACTTACAATGCTTGCAGTTTGATTTTGGAAGATTAGCTGCGACATTTGGCTTAAGGGGATTACGTAAATTATGTATCATAAAAAATGCAAAACTGCTGTAAATGTAAAATAAAAACATCTATTTATAAGTTAGCACATTAGTTTTACATTTTTTTAAAGTTCCACTGTGGCTTCGAGGCTGATGTCCTGAAAATGTTTGATGCTAGCTAAATTTAGAYGTAAATTTAATAATTTTTACCAGTTATTAGTTATTGATACGCTCGCTGCTGTTGGATTTACTCCAGATAAAACAGCCCAGTCATTTCCCCACTCAGGTCCAACGCTCTGCCTCCTCTTGACTGGCCCCTGCCACCCCAGTTCGACCAGTACGAGCTTCGCATAGAGGTCCAGCCTCGCCCGCACCACCGAGCCCACTACGAGACGGAGGGCAGCAGAGGCGCCGTCAAAGCTGCGCCGACGGGACATCCTGTTGTCAAGGTCAGGCGGCGACCTGCAGATTTACTGACAGATTTGTGCAAAAAGTKTCGCAAAATGACACATGGGCTCTGTTTGGCTGCTCTAGAACTTTTAGGGTTCTTGAAYTCCAATTTGATTCGGAGCAGAAATAACCATTTTATTGAAGCTGTCTCCGAGCGATGGTGAAACAAAGTCACATGTCGTGTCTCGCTGTTGTCGGCCTCCTCACAGTTTGACTCCGTCGCTCACACTGTGTCTCTGTGCAGCTGTGTGGATACACGGAGAGGAAGCCGCTCTCGCTGCAGGTTTTTGTTGGGACAGCCGACGACCGCTCCGTCAGGCCGCATCCCTTCTATCAGATCCACAGGTACCGTTTTAGTTGAGAAGCAAACCGATCGACAAAACACACGATTAATCGTTTAAACGGAGCCGACGCATGGGTGCAGGGAAGAGGTGCGGTGCCTGAACAAACAATGTTCCTCCTCCTGCAGGGTGACCGGGAAAATGGTCGGCACCGCCAGTCATGAGAGCGTCCAGGCAGGGACCAAAGTGCTGGACATCCCCCTGAACCCGGAGAACAACATGACTGCACTGTGAGTAAATGCATTCCAGAGAGATAAACAAGAAGCGTAAACCTTTAATTTGACTGCTTTACTCCCTAACTGTTAGAAATGAGTAAATACTAAACACAGATTATAACAACCTCTATAATAAAAACTTGTGGGTTTTTTCCAGCATCGATTGCGCCGGCATCCTGAAACTGAGAAACTCGGACATTGAGCTGAGGAAAGGCGAAACAGACGTCGGGAGAAAAAACACGCGAGTTCGCCTCGTGTTTCGTACCCACTTCCCCCTGGCACCGCCTGTGGCCCCGCCTGGACGGGTCCTGGCCCTGCAGGTTGCTTCGCTGCCCATCGAATGCTGTAAGTGGTTGTTTTATTCACACATTTATCACAGTTTTAATAAAACAATTTGACAGAATCCGTATCGCATTAAGATCATGTTTTGTTGAAAAATGACTGTAGCTCGATATCTAAAAAAAACAAAACATGATGACTTATCACCATTTTTAATCTTAGTTGGCTCTGGCTACCATTTTGAACTTGGTTGACTCCAAAAATTATTCCGTTGTAAATGTTCATCCAATAATTACTCTGTTTTATTAAAACCTGTCCCGGGCTAAATTATTATTATTATTTTTTTAAGTTTTAAGAAATGATTTCACTTTATAAATTAGTTCTCAGAGTCCATGCTATGTATGATTCTCAGCTACTACCACACCAAATGTCTGCTCCTTATCTGTAGCACTGGCTTTGTTAGAACCATTTTTGCAGTGGCGGCCATCTTGAATGGGGCTGACTCCAAATTTAATTTGTTGTAGACATAAAAGCAGTGATTACGTTCTGAGCGTTTCAGTTTAAATACCTCCAGTGTCTCGTGAGGTGTTTTGCTAAACGAGCCCCRTCCTCTATTTTTTATTTTTATTTCCTTTCCCTTTGCCTCAGCTCAGCGCTCGGCCCAGGAGCTGCCCGTTGTCGAGTCCGTCAATCTTACTTCCTGCTCGGTGGAAGGAGGGGAGGAGCTGCTGCTGAGCGGAGCCAACTTCCTGCCCATCTCCAGAGTCCTCTTYATGGAGAGGGGCACGGGTACGAGTCCCAACGCTTTTCAGATGCTAACACAGAGCCAGAACACCGTCATACGGATAAAGTCAAACTGCAAATAAATAYAAGAACAAATAAATATATTTAGTATAAAAGTAAACATTTTTCTGTTTGCTGGATTAATTCTTTGTTGTAACCATAAATCTTAAAGCAGCACCTGAAGGTACCAGAAGCTCAAAACAAGAGTCAAAAACAGCCACAAATGCATCATCCCACAAATGCCTGTTCCTTACAAATGTGGCACCATTTAAAATGGAATATAACAGGCTTTCCATCGGTATAAGATTTATTGCCAAGAACGTTATTATAACAAAGAAATAATCTACCAAACACAGATTTTCCTTACTTTTTGTGCTAAGTATAGATCTGCAAACCAGAAAATCTAAATTATCACTCTGCTTGATGAATGGTGGGTATTTAAAATAAATGATTTAGTCTGACGAAGGGCGGCGGGCCCAAGACATAAGAAAGTAAAACTTTATACAAGAACCTTTTTTTACCGTGTTGATCTATTTTTTTTTCTTTTTCCATAATAAAACAGCCTGCCAACGCAGGTTTTTCTGTTTTGAGTTTTTTACACAATCGCTGCTTTACAGCCAGCTGGTTTTATAGAAACCTTTAATACAAATTAAAAGCTTGGACACATTTTTGCTGCTTTTGTCAGATAGCTTCACACAAGCAAAGGTTTGGAATGAAAGCCTGGTTTTACAGCGCTACAGAGTAATCAATGTGAAAAGAGTCAACGTTTTCTGACTTTTTTATTGTCCCTGTTTTTACTTTCTGAGTTCTTCTTGTGTTACATCTTGTTTTTTTTTTTTTTTTTTGCTCTCACGTTAGATGGTAAATTACAGTGGGAGGAAGAGGCTCACGTTGACCGTGGCAACAGCAACGAGGTAATTTTGCGGTGTGCGATTATCGTTGCGCCACTTCGTGTTTAATTCTTGCTTCATGCGCACCTTTCAGTGTTTGCTGTGCGTGAGGGTTCCCGCCTACAGCGACCTCTCCGTCAGTCGGCCCGTCTCCGTCAGTCTGTACGTCTCCAACGGAAAGAGGAAGCGCAGCAGCACTCACTGCTTCAAGTACCTGCCAGGTGAGCGTCGGGTCACGGCTTGTTGGTATATTTTATTCTTGTTATAATGGACAAATGTTACTGAGGCTAGTTCACATTATACGCTGATGACACTCTAATCTATTGTTGTGAAAAGCTCATTGTTTTTTGATCGTCTGCAGTCTGCATTTGACTCCATCCTAATGGTAAARCCTATCTCTGCCTGTTTATTTACTTACTGAATGATTTACTTTTGTCAAACAATTGAGGATATTTTAGGATTATTATTTTAGGGATCTTCTTAACTTTCTCGTTTTCTTTGTATTTACCCTGCACCTTTTCTGTTCCACGTCAGTTCAACAGTTAAGAAAAGGCTTACTTTTTTTTTTACCACGTTTTTTCCAACAACTACAAATATTTTGCATTTTTAGGATACGACATACCTAAATTTCTCAATTTTTCAAGAGTGTGTGTTTACCTGGTGCACTGCAATTTGGCTGGGAAAAATGACGACACATGATTCAACAAATACAGCCATAATGCGATGAGAGCAGATCAAAACCCTGCATGTCATTTTCAGCAATTATGCCTACATATACGACACCGTAAATTTTGAAATCAGGTCAAAGTTAACTGAAAACAACAATAGAGTTGTGTACTTAACAAGCTAATTTCCAYTGTTTTTGAGCAAATGATGTAATTTTATTGGGAGGGTTAAATTGATGGGATCAAAATATTGCGGGGATCATAACCCACCTAACCCCCACTGAAAATTACGCCATGCTCCATCCAATCAGACTATCAACTCTTCACAAACTATTAGTTCTTTTAATGGTCCAGCTATTGAGTTTGTAGAAACATAAATATCTTGGTGTTGTCATCGACCAAAACATCACCTTCAAATGTCACGTTGACCACATTTTGAAAAAAAAAAAGGCTAAAATTAGGATTTTTTTTTTAGAAAACATTCATGTTTCCGTCTTGTGGGTAGCAAACATCTTGTGTTAGCAGCCTTTCTACCACAATGGACTCTGGTGATGTTATTGACATGAGAACTCTCAGCATATGTTGGATGTTGCTTATCATGATAATAAAATGCAAACGTCTCACACACCACTGTACCCTGTACTCACTGGTAAACTGGTGCAGACTTCTACACAGGTATACTTTTATTTGCAAATCCGTCCTCTGCCTGCTGCCTCCCTCTCTACATTCCAAGATGTCACAAAGACGGTCGTATTTTAAGTTCCCAGGGTTTTATTTTTTACAGTGTCCCCTCGTTTCGCACAGAAACCTCCTCCTTTTCTGCTCCATCTTCCTGGAATTCACTGCATCGAGAAGTGAAACTTTAATTGTAAACGCATTTTAAAGAAAATGGCAAAATCGTCATTTTAAGCTCGTTCTTGTTTTTAGATTAGGTTTGACTTTGCTCTCTAAAATGTCAACATGTTTTATAATTTTGTGTAATTGATATGTTTGTGTTACAGGTCTGTCTTGTCTAAATAAATGTAAATAAATAAATTCCTGTGTTGTTACTGCCATCGTTGATATTTACAAATKACATTTTTCAGTTATGTTTAAAGAGGAGGACCCTTTGTTGTCCCGGCCCTCGGTGCCGCCTCTGAATGGGGGTTCTGTGTACCCGGTGGGCGGTCCCCCCAGGATGGACAGAGGTTTCCACATGTCAGATGATCCAGGCCTTGGTTTCCACCTGCCCCCCTACCCTTCTGCCTACTCGCCTCCCTGCCCCGCCGTCAGCTACCATGAGGAGTTCTGCTCCAAACCGGACGCCCCGGTGGAGGAGCCCGGCGGGTCCAGGGCGTCCCTGTCAGAGCGCCACCCCAGCTTTGAGAACCTAGAGCTGGGCTTCACCGAGCTCCTCCCCCCTCTGTACCCTCGCGCCCCTCAGCCTTCCTCCCCATCTCCGTCCCCATGGCTGGACTCCCCCTACCTGTCCTCCTCCCCCTCCCCGTCCCACTCCTCCTCCCTCAGCCCGTTCCCTACTGAAAGTCCCATCTCCAACTCCCCTCTGCCTCCCGTCCCCACCTCGCCGTTCCCACATTGCTCCGCCTACCCTCCGGAGGCGTGTCCCTCCCCTCCGTCCAACCCTTACCAGGACACCTGCCCTGCACCTTTCTCCCACTACGAGGGCTGGGACCCCCAGGGGAGAGTGTTGGGCACGGGACCGGGAGGAGACGGGGATGCTAAGATCCAGGAGTGTCCTCTGGAGTTCACCAGCGCTGCCTCGATTCACCACATCACCTTTGAAGAAGGTGAGTTCACCTCGTTATAAATTTATAATAAAAATGGACTGAGATAAYTTATTTTTCCTTTTGCTCTCGCTCTCCTTCAGTGTCAGAGTTCATTGGGGAGGACATCCAGGCTTTTCAGTCCGGTTCACACATGAACAACCATCCAAACTGATCTCAGATCAGCTAAAGACGCCCGTCTGACGTTCAGCATTGTGTTAAATTTCTGATGCACTTGGTATAAAAATGCGTTTCTGCAGTAGTCTGTTATATTGTCAGAGGACTCTGGTTGTCAAAACACTTTTGTAATTGAATTTTGTTCACAATCGACTGTTTTATAAAGGAAAAGTATTGTTTGAAAAAATGTCAAATATAAATTATATTAAAGCTGTGTCGTTGACGTTTGTTTTCTGACAGTGAAAAGGACTGACTTTGCTGAGATTCGAGGCTAAAAGAAGCAAAACATTAGCAAAAAGTTTTAAAAAAGCAAAAATAATAGCTACAAGCAGAAACAGGCTAGCTAAAAGCTAAAGTAGCAAGAAGATAACCAGAAGCTAAGAGTAGCAAAATGAATGCAAATAGAAAAAAATTAGCAAAAGGCTAGCTAAAAGTAGCAAAAACAGCCAAACGCTAAAAGTAACAGTTGGCTAGTTAAAAGATCAAATTAAAGGTAAGTTAAGCTAAAACAATTAAGTCTAGTTAAAAGCTAAAAATAACAGAACAGCAGCTAAAAGAAGCAAGACCCTTGTTAAAAGCTAAAAAGGAGCAAAACTAGATAAAAATCAAAACTAGCAAATTTCTACATAATTTTTTAAACATTTGACAAAGGTAGCAAAATGTCAGCTAAAAGTTAAATGTAGAAAAAATGTAGAAAGTAAAAGTATAAAAAAGCTAGGTAAAAGTATCAAATGGCTTGCTAAAAGCTAAATGTAGCAAAATAGTAGCTAAATGCTATAAGTAGCAGAAGAGTAGCTAAAAGCAGGGAGAGGTTAGCCAGATAAACTTGTTTTATTTAGACATGTGCTTAAGTAAAATATTTAAATACTAAAGAAAAAATAAGAAAATTTGAATTTCAACCAAATATAACCCAAAACCAAAACAGATTCTCAAAGTTTTTTTTACACATCATATAAAGTCATGTGTAATTTATTAAACACTCTGTTTGTTTAAGGTAGAAGTCACATATTTGTTATTTAGCTACAATTCCTGCATGTTTTGACTTCTGCCTTTTTTAGCTGCTGATTTTAAACTTTTTTTTATCAGCAGAGTTTCCCAGCCTATAAATAGACAATGTCAGTCTGACTCTAAACAACTCAGAAACAAACAAYTTGAAAAATTAATTTTCCTTCTATTAGACTGAGGAGTCATTTTAATAACTTTCATTATGAAATTGTATCCAAAAAAACCTCTCGACAGATTTTTTTAAATTTTTGAAACATTTGTTTCTCGCTTCCTTTTGCTGTCAAAGACTATTTTTTATTTTGTTTTCCTAAATGCAATATATATATA